TAAAGCATTACCTGCATTGAAAGAAGCAGAAGAAGCTTTATAAAGAATTAACAAAAATGATATTGCAGAAATTAAAGGATTTATAAATCCTCCTCCTGTTGTATAATTAGTATTAGAAGCTGTTTGTATATTATTGTAAGAGAAAACTGATTGGAATTCAGCAAAATCTGTTATGCTTAGTAATGATTTTATGGATAGATTAATTAAATATGATAAAAGTTAGATTACTGAATAGATGTTGAAGAAATTGAGATATATTACAATTAAGCCTGAATTTGATCCAATTTGTGTTGCTTAAAAAAGTTAAGCATGTAAAAGTTTATGTATGTGGTGTAGAGCTATTGATAATTATTCTAAGATTGCTAAAGAAGTAGAACCTAGAAAAAAGAAAGTGGCAGATATGTAATAAAAATTAGAAGTGAAAAATAAAGAATTGGCAGTTAAATAAGATGAATTATAAAAAGTTAGAGATAGAGTAGCTAAATTATAAAAAGAATGTGATGAAACAGTAGAAAAAAAGAATGAATTAGAAAAAGAATTAGAAAGAACAAAGAAAAGATTAGTGGCAGCTGAAAAATTAACATATTTATTAGCTGATGAAGGTATAAGATGGAAAGATTAAATTAAATTAATAGAATAAGTTTTATAGTAAATAATTGGAGATGTTTTCTTGGCTGCTAGTACAGTCAGTTATTTAGGTGCATTTACTGGATAGTATAGAGAATAATTGATTAAAAATGCAATTGATAAATTAAAAGAATTAGATATTCCTTTTTCTGATAATTATTCTTTATCTACAACTCTAGAAAATCCAATTGTTATTAGAGATTGGGTTATTTGTGGATTACCTAATGATTCCATTTCAATTGATAATGGAGTTATTGTTACTAGAGCTGATCGTTGGCCTTTAATGATTGATCCATAAGGATAAGCAAATAAATGGTTAAAACAATTTAATAAAGAATTAAAAGTAATGAGATTCACAGAATAACATTTTTTAAAAGGATTATAATAATGTATAAGTTCAGGATATGAAGTATTATTTGAAGAAGTAGAAGAAAAATTAGAACCATCTGTTGATTCAGTTCTTTAAAAATAAATTATTGAAGTAGATGGACGTAGACTTATAAAAGTTGGTGATTAAAAAGTAGATTATCATAATTAATTTAAATTGTATTTCACTACAAAAATAGCAAATCCAAATTATTTACCAGAAGTATTTATAAAAACTACAGTAATTAATTTTAGTATCACTTTTGAGGGTTTATGTGATTAATTATTGGGTGATGTAATGAAATTTGAAAAACCAGAGATAGAAAAATAAAGAGATGAAATAATTATAAAAATGAGTAATGCTAATAAACAACTTAAAGGAGCTTAAGATTCTATTTTAGATCTTTTAGCTAATGCTTAAGGAATGATTTTAGATAATGAATAATTAATCCATACTCTTGAAGTCTCGAAATTTCAATCTGCTGATATTTAAAAATCACTAGAAGAAACAATTATTGTAGAATAATAGATTAATGAATCTAGAAATCTTTATCATTCAGTAGCTATAAGAGGAACAATATTATATTTTGTAATTTCAGATATGAGTTTAATTGATCCAATGTATTAATATTCTCTTCAATATTTCAAAAAGTTATATAATATTTCCTTAAATCTCACTCCAAAGACTGATTTACTTAGTGAGAGATTGCTTTATTTAGAAGAAACAATTACTTAGACTGTCTTTAAAGATATTTGTAGAGGTTTATTTTAATAACATAGAAAAATCTTTTCATTTTTAATTTGTGCTTAAGTTTAGAGATAAAGTGGTTCTGTTTCAAATGCAGCATGGAATTTATTATTAAGAGATTAAATACCTTCAACTCCAATCATTAATCCTGATAAATTATTCATGAAAGATTCTCAATGGAATTTAATTTTATGTATCTAAGAATAAATTACAGAATTAACTGATTTATCCTCAGATATTAAAAATAATTTATTGTATTGGAAAGAGTTTGCTTAAATAGATGATATCTATTAAGCATCATTCCCAACATAATCTCCACTTGCTGTTTGTTCAACATTAAATCCATTTTATAGATTATTGATAATAAAGGCTTTAAAACCTGAAAAAATAATGTTTGGTTTAACTGAATATGTAATTGAATTATTTGGAGAATTTTATATAAATTTATCTTCATCTTCAATGGAAGAAATTTATTAATCATCAGAATCACATACTCCAATAATATTTATATTATCTCCAGGTGCAGATCCTACTTAAACATTATTTAAATTAGCAAAAGAATAATAAAGTTAAATTGATGTAATTTCTTTGGGACAAGGATAAGGAAAAAAAGCAGAAAATTTGATTTAGAAAGGATAGAAAGATGGAACATGGATTATGCTTTAAAATTGTCATTTAGCAAGATCATGGATGCCTTAATTAGAAAAATTAATGGAATCTTTAACATCACATCATATTGAAGTTCATAATAATTTCAGAATATTTTTGACTTCCATGCCTGCTGCATATTTTCCTGTAAGTACATTATAGAATGGTTTAAAACTTACAACAGAACCACCTAGAGGATTGAAATCTAATTTACTTAGATCTTACTAAGAATTTTAGTAAGCAGATAACTAATAAAAGTTATTCAAATAATTATTTTTCAGCATTTCCTTCTTTCATGCAATAGTATAAGAGAGAAGGAAATTTGGACCTTTGGGTTTTAATATTTCATATGAATTTAATGATTCTGATCTTGATATTAGTATATAAATGATGAAAATGTTTATTTCTTAAGAAGAAGAAATTCCTTGGGATGCTATGTAATTTATGATAGGTTAAATAAATTATGGTGGTCGTGTTACTGATGATTAAGATAGAGTATGTTTAACTTCCATATTGAAAAAGTATTTAGGTGATCATATTGAAACCAATGTAAAATTCTCAAATAGTGGAATTTATTATTTACCAGAAGATGATTACATTAATTATATATCTTAATTACCAAATTAAGAAGATCCTGAAGTATTTGGTATGCATGAAAATGCAAATATTGTATTCTAAACATAGGAGAGTTAAAAGATATTAGATATCATATTATCCATTTAGCCTCGTGTAAGTAGTACTAGTACTCAGAAATCTCCTGATATGATTGTTATGGAAAAGGCTATATACTTTTAAAGTAATCTTCCAGAAATTTTGGATAAAAATGTTTGTAATTAAAGACATTATCAAATTACTGAAAATGGCAGTGTTTAATCTTTATCAACTGTTTTATTTTAAGAAATAGATAAATTCAATAAATTAATTGAATTAATTCAATCTACATTAATTTAATTGTAATAAGCAATAAAAGGTTTTGTACTAATATCTTAGGAATTAGATGAAATGTATTTAGCATTTCTTAATAATGCTATTCCTCCTAATTGGATGAAATAATCATATTCTACTTTAAAACCACTTTCAAGTTGGTTTAAAGATTTAATTGCAAGAGTACAATTTATTAGATCTTGGATGGAAAAAGATTTCATTCCTGCTTATTGGATGTCTGGATTATTTTATCCTTAAGGATTTTTGACTGGAGTATTATAAACACATTCTAGAAAATATAAGATTCCAATTAATAAACTTAATTTCAAATTTAAAGTGTTGGATATAGAATAAGATAGAATTAGAGATGAAATTAAAGATGGAGTATATGTATATGGTCTATATTTGGAAGGAGCAAGATGGGATTATTAACATGAAACTTTAATTGAATAATAAGTAGGTTAAATTTATTTCCCTCTTGCCATGATGTATTTCTAACCAATGGAGGAATATTAGACTGGAGAAGAATATTATAAGTAATATTATTTAATCTATATGCTTAGTTGTCCATGTTATAAAACATCAAATAGAACAGGAGTTCTTTCAACTACAGGTTAATCTACAAATTTCATTTTATCTATTGTAATATATAATAATATTTTAGGATTTGATGAGTAAGACAGAGAAACCAGAATATTGGACTTTAAGGGGAACAGCTATAATTTCTTAATTAAATGATTGATTATTTTTTTTTTATTATAAATTTTATATGTATCTTGTTGTAATTGAACTTTTATACAATAATATACAACAATTAGCTATCATCACTTAATATGCACATTAATGCAAAGTGAAACCAAATTTAATCAAATAAACTGACTTTTTACTCTTTCTAATACTTCATTTAGACTTTATAATGTTATCTCTATAATCATTTGGTTCTCTTAAAGATTATTCATACTCTAATATTATTATTTTATTATATTTTACGCTGACTCTTTTACTGTTAGCAACTTTAAAAATAATACTACTTTGATTATTGTTCAACTTTTTTACCTTCTCTGTAAATAATTAAAATTCTAATTCTAGATATTTATGATATATATAGATATATGCATCTGCTATTGTAAAATATACTAAAAATTTGGTTGAAGATATACCATTTATTAATTCCTAGTATTTTGATGATTCTTGATTAATAATCCAAAAGTGAAAATGAACTTACTTGGAATTTGATTATTCTACTTTAGAACAATATTCTAAATGATAATTTGATTTCGGTTATTTAAGAGTATTACAATATTTAAAAACCTCACCTATTTGATTTGAATTATCCACTATAAGAATGTTGATATTGCAATATTCCTTTTAATCTTGTTGTTCCTCTTAAAATGATGTCTAAATAGGTTCATTTCTTAATATACTACATTTGTATCCTTATCAGTGTTTTCGAACTCCTTTAAATCAAACTATTTCTCATTTACTTTAGTTTAGTATAATAGTTCTTTAGAATATTAAGATTATTGAATATATTGTTCCAAAGAATCTGCATGTAAGGCTCCTAATCTTTTGCGCATGACTTTAATTAGTTATTTAAAATAAACAAATATTTATATTGTCATATTTTTCAAATAATATTCCAACAAAATGTAAAATAAACTCTAATTGTAGGCTCACAAGACCACCAATGTTAAGGGAGTCTAGACATACCAAAATTAATTATAAAGAACCATCAACTATAGTTTTAAAGTTGGGTAGTCAACCTAATGTAGGAAGTAATTTATTAAGTAAAACTCTCAGAATTACCACCAAAAGTGTTATAATAAAATCCTACTACTGAAGTAAGAAGAATAAAAAACAAATCGATTAGTTAACATATAAATGGAAATGGGATCCATCAATAAGTGAATTATTACAAATAACCCAATAAAAGAATTATTTATGACTCTACAAATTGTTTAAATCCTCAAATTAATCGTTCATCAAGTAATAGAATTAAGAAAATACATTCAGTCAGTTCTCATAATTGTAAATAGTTTATCAATATAAAGATGAAAGTTTTATTTAAAATCTAGAAGATCATAGTAGAAACAATATTGTTTGTAATGAAGTAGCTACTAGTAGTGAATTAAATGAGGGCAAGAAATTATTTACAGATAATAAAATTGAAGAAGCATTGAAAATATTTTAAACATACCTTAATAAATATGGATTAAATCCAGAAGCCTTATATCTATCAGGATTATGTTACATGTCTCTAGATTAAGAAGAAAAATATATTGAATAATTTTAGACACTAATAAAAACATTTCCAACATATAAAAGAACAGCATATATGTATTTAGCACTTTCTTTAAAAAAAAATAATCATATCAATGAAGCAATAAATGTAATATCCTAAGGTATCAATCATTTCAATAGATACTTTGAAGCTCTAATATTCAGAGCTAAGTTATTTTTAAAGCATAAAAGTTATGAAAAAGCTATGAGAGACTTTAATACAGCAATTCATATCAATCCAAAAAAACCTATTGGTTATATAGGTTTAAGTGATTGTTATAAGTAAATCAACTAACTTTAACAGGCTATTGAAGAATTGAATAAAGCTATTGAATTTGAAGAGTTTTCAAAATAAAAATCCATTATTTTAAAAAGATTTACAATTTATTTAGAAATTAAAGAATTTGAAAAAGCAAAATAAGATATGAATTTATTACTTGAAATTTGTCCAAATGATTCTGAAGTTTATTATTTTAAAGGAATTTTGATGCAAAAGTAGAGTAATTACTTAATTTAATTTTAGAACGTCTTTAAGATGCTCTTTTGGCTTTTGAATAATCAATTAAATTTAATAGTGAAAAGAAACCAGTTACTAAAGCACTTTATGAAATTGTAAAAATAAAAATTGAATAAAATGATTATTATTCTGCTTAACATGAACTTGATAGAGCAGCTTATCTTGATGTTGATAAAACATAATTATAAAAATTTGAGCTTTTTGTTGGAGGAGCTATATATTTAATGAAAAGAAAATTTGAAGAAGGCACTCATCTTTTGACAGAGATGATCACTAAAAATCATTAAAGCGATAATCTTAAATTTTAAGCACATCAATATAGAGCTTATGGATATTTTTGTTTATCAAAGTACAATTTAGCTAACCAAGATTTAGAATTATATTAAGAAAATCTATTGGAGAAAGTAATTTTATTAAAAATGATAGGCATCTCTATATAATAAACTACTTTGTCATGGGATAATTAAATATGAAGATAATGAATTAGAATAAAGTAAAAGAGAATTTTTACAAGCTCATAAAATGTTACCAAATAAAATGGAACCATTATTTTATTAAGCCATTATCTAAATTAAAAAATATTGTTCAAGTCTTGAAAAAATGAGTGAAGAAAATAGAATAAAATATTTATAAGAAGCTTTGGATTTACTTGAAAGAGCTGCTAAAGTTTTTGAATAATCTAATTTACTTTTCTATAAAGGAATTTTACATTTTGCCCTTGGAAATTTAGATCAATCTGCTTTAGATTTAGAATAAGCTATTGAAAAATCTGAAGATAATTAAGCATAACATTATTATGTTAGAGGATTACTTTATTGTTAACGTTAACTATTTAAATAAGCTGTCAATGATTTTTCAATTTGTTTAAGTTTAGATCAAAATCATTCTGAATCTTACCTTAATAGATGTAAACTATTAACAATGTTGGGTGATGTTGCTACAGCTTACTTGGATCTATAAAAATATATTGAATTAAAGGAGTAATATACAATAAACTATCATACTATTGGAATTCTTTATTTTTTAATTGGAGCATATGATGAAGCTATCTAAGCGTTTAGTAATTGTAAAAATCTTGAAGGATATTATGAGAAAGTTAAAGTATTAATTTATGGTAAGGAATTGAATTCAGCACTTAATGAATTATCTATTATTATAGAATAATTAAATAGTCATGAGGCCATTATTGATAAATAAATGTTAACAATACTTAAAGATACTAGTTAATTAATATCTACAAAAATTCTAGAAGATAGTATAAATACTATAAGTTAAATTTAAAAAGGATAATAGGAAGGATTGATTTTCAGATTGTCTGATATCTATTTTTACAAAGGTTTATTTTATACATACTTGGCATAGTATTCTAAAGCAAAATAATGTCTTCGTTTTTCATATGATTTAAAAGAAAAGGAAATTAAGAAATCAAGAAATACTTAAATGATTAATCAGAACACTCTAGAGGATTTTGATTTTACAAATAAGACTTATAATATCTATGAACATCTTTATAATTGTGCAATACTAGATGTAATATTAGGAAATTTAGAAGAAGCCTTTGAAACACTCACTTTATTACATGAACACTTAACTTAAATAGAATTTAGAGTTTAATTATAGATTTTTATGGAATTATTACGTGATGATTTATTGGATACTCCTCCAGAAGAAGAATTTTCAAAAATATAAGAATTTTAATTATTCCCTTAACATAATAGACTTTGTTCAATTTATCCTGCAATCTAATTACCATTGAAAAAATATTCTGTTTTAATCAGGATGTCATTTTGTTTACCGATTGTTGAATTCCCTTCTTAGCCAATATTATTTGATGAGTAACTACTTCAAAAAATATCTGTAATTAAATTAATTATTTTTTAAAGCCTAAAGTTGTGGAGAATAAACCAGAAGCACCTTGGATTAAAAGATCTAGTGAAGGAGTGATATTTACAGATAACATTTAATGTATTGATGATTTGGATCTTCAATCAACTGTTAGAAAAGAAGACAGGGAAGAAACTGAATAAGAAATTATTAATCTTTAAGATGATAATGAGATCTCTAAATTAAAAGAAAAACTTAAATTAGATGACTAAATTACTAAAAAATTGAATTCAATATTATAATAAATTGAAGAATGAATCGCTATAAATAAAATATTTTAATCTATATATTACCATAAATGAGTATTCTACAAATTAAATATATTTATTTTTGGTTCATCAAATAGAATTATTAAATTTCTTATTTCATTTACTAATTTATATATACTTATAAAAGTTGTTGCTTATTAATGACAATCAAAATTCATATATAAAATAAATGATAGATATATTTGTATATAGTAAAAAAATAAAAAACCTTTATTTAATCTTATTTTCATTTTAGAATTTGAATTAAATTGAATTCTAAATAATGTAATAAATAATAAGAAATTTAGTATCAATTTAAAAAAAGTAAAATAAATCCTTAATTTTAAAATTAATCCATAAATGATACATGGATACAATTATATTAATGAAAATACATAATATATTTACTTAAAATTTATAATGTTAAAAAGTAATCTTTATTATAAATGATTAATTTAAGAATTTATTGACTAAATATAATTTTAAATCCATTATTTATTCTGTCTTGTAGCCAAAAAAGATGAATTATAAAAATATTCTTTATTAATTAGAAATTAAATTAATCTAGATTAATATTTTAAATGAATATATTTTTTTACCTTTGAAATATATATAATAACATATTGTTTTGACAAGTTTCATAAATTGCAAATTTCTGGAAAAAGCTCAATTTATTTGGAAAAATTTGTTATTTTTTATCTTATATAAATCATTATGGGTTGTGGATCAATCAAATAAGTAGAAGTTGATAATCCAAACAAGAGTAGTTAAAATTATATTTCCCTTAGTTAAGGATGTTGCTCATTTCAAAATTTCTTCTCAAGGCATGGTAGCTGAAAAATATGGATCTATAACTCATGATTATACACTACTTAAACCACCAATAGGAAAAGGTTTCAATGCATAAATATCATAAGGTGCTTTTGGAGAAGTCAGGAAAGCTATTCACAAGGTCACAAATCAAGTTAGAGCAATAAAAGTAATATCTAAAGAAAAAGTAAGCAAAGCAGAGGTTGAGAGATTGAGAATAGAGATTGAAATTTTAAAAAGATTAGTAAAGATTGAATTTAGATAATAGGATCATCCAAACATAATAAAAATTTATGAGTTCTATTAAGATAATAAAAATATCTATATTGTGACTGAATTATGTACAGGAGGAGAACTATTTGATAAAATTTAAGATCAATAGGCCTTTTCGGAGAGAAAGGCTGCAGAAACTATGAAATAGATTCTTAGTGCTGTTAATTATCTCCATAAAAGTAAAATAGTTCATAGGTTAATAATTTAAATAATGAGCTAGAGATTTAAAGCCTGAAAATATATTATATGAGGCAAATAAACCATAAGCATTACTTAAGATTGTAGATTTCGGTACTAGTAGAGTATTTGAGTCTGGTTACAAAATGAATCAAAAATTAGGAACAGTATAAATCTAATTAAAACTATAAGCCATATTATATAGCACCTGAAGTTTTAGAAAGAAAATATGATGAAAAATGTGATGTGTGGTCTTGTGGTGTTATATTGTATATTTTACTTTGTGGACTTCCACCTTTTAATGGAGAGACTGAATAAGAGATACTAGAAAGTGTTAGAGAAGGTGATTTAACTTTTGAAGGTGAGGAATGGAGTTAAGTTTCATATGAAGCAAAATTACTGATTAAAAAAATGTTAGAGAGGGATCCAAAAAGAAGAATTAGTGCTGAATAAGCTTAAAGAGATCCATGGATAACTACTTATGTAAAAAAGACAGAAATGAATTTAACTTAATTAACAGAAGTTCTTAATAATTTAAGAACTTTCAGAGTTGAAAAGAAGTTTTAAGAGGCTGCATTAACATTTATGGTAAATTAGATGGCAACAAGTTAAGAGAAATAGGAACTATTATAATAATTTTAGGCATTAGATTTAAATGGAGATGGAAGACTCTCAAAAGAAGAATTAATAATTGGTATATATAAATAAATATAGATGAGGTTATTCAAAAGTAATGAGTTATACTGATGCAGAATTAGAAGTTGAAAAATTAATGAAGTATATAGATTAAGATAAAAATGGAAGCATTGATTATTCAGGTTTAATATATATATATATAATTTAAAATAGAATTTGTTTTGGCTACATTTAATAAGGTAAAACTTATTGAAGATTCAAGATTAGAATAAGCATTTAGAATGTTTGATAAAGATGGAAGTGGTTCAATATCAATTGATGAAATAAAAGGCATATTTGGTTGTAATGATGCAGCTGTAAGTGATGAAGTTTGGAAGGAATTGTTAGCTGAAGTAGATGCTAACGGTGATGGTTCTGTAAAAAATGTTATTTATTTTTAGATTTCCTTTTAAGAATTTAAAGAAATCATTATAAAAGCAATCTATAATAATAATCCAGATTAAAAAGCTTAAAAGTGACTAAATATTTTATATTTATATATTATCTTTTCTGCTTTTTTTTTTATTAATACTCTATTTACATATACTTTAATTAATTTTCAAACAACTCTATTTAATATAATATATATATGTATGTATTTTCTTTGTTATTGATAAATCTCTAAAAGAAATAGTATTAAAGTATGGATATACATAATTTGAATGCTAATATTTCAAATGTTTATATTATATAATTAATCATAAGTATTTTTGCAATATTTTCTAATAATGAGTCATCTCAGGAAGATATGAAGGTTGTTTATTTAGTTTCTTTTTACAATTTTTCGATTTCAAATTCTTAGATTCTGGTCTCTTTTATTCAAATTTTGGTTCTTCTTTCCCAAACTTGGATGTACCTTAATTGGTGAGATCAGTCAATTAAGTTCTAGAGATCAATTAAAATGAGAGTGTACGATCTCTCTTTCTACTTAAACTTCTATGTAATGATTCTCTATAACCACTGCTTGTATGAACGTGTAACAGCATTTTAATTAATTTATGGAAACTTACTAACTAAATAATCAAAAAAATAATATATACATATTATAATATTTCTTTTGAAAATCTGAATGAATAGAGTTTATGATAAACAAATATATGGAAATTGTAAATTAATAAATAAGAAAGAATTATAGATTGAAATAATAAATCTTAGAAGAAAAGAATAAGAGTATAATATCATAAAAAAAGCAATAGAAATTTATTGTATAATAATATTTAGAAATATCATAACCTTCTAAAATTAAATCATTTTATCACGAATAATATTCAATATATTCACAAAAGCAATGCCTAAAATAATGACATCTATAATGATGTTATTTTTAGAATAGAATGAGTATCTATAAGTAAAAGTTATTATCTAATATTAATAAATTACATATTTATTTCATAGTAGTATTTATTCTTAGTTTAAGTTAAACTAAAATATATAAATAAACATTATTTTATATCCTTAATTATCAATAAGCGAAATCAATTTAGATAGTAATTCTATTCTTAGATGCCATTAATAATATATTTGAACAAAATAACATGTTTTTTTTAATTAAAAAAATCTTAAAAAAAAAAATCAAAAAATCAACGTTGCAAATCACCATCTAAATCTCCATTATCAATTGGTATTGCAATTTATGTGGTTGAGATCCATTTTTTATGGATCATATATATTAATGTTCCAAAAAAGTAGATTAAAAGTATAATAAAGAGAACCATATAAGTAGTTTTTTCTGTATTATTTGAGCATTCTATACATACATTTTGATAATCGCAATCAAACCAGGTTGGTAATATATCAGAATATTATAATTTAAGATCTTCACAACTTTTGTATTACAGAATATCTTATTTTGTACAATATATATCTTATTTTAAATCTTTATTGCATTATATATTATGGTTATTAACTAGATCAGAACAACTTGATATTGTTTTTGGACAATTTGTATTAGTAGAATTTTCTGTATCTTTAGAATAGCATTGACTTATTAAAGTACCATAATTTTTAGTTAGATCAGAACAAGTCATGTTTTTTAAAGAGGTTGGACAGGTTGGACAGGTTGAACAGGTAGAACAAGTAGGACAGGTTGAACCAGTTTAACAAGTAGGACAAGTTATTTTTTCAAAGCAGATATTAGTTAAATAAGAATAAGTATTATTTAGTTTAGCACAAGTATTAATTTGTTTAATACAAGTATTACATAAATCTGGATCTGAATTAATAATCTACATTTATTTGCAAGGTTAACATCCATAATTTGAATTCCAGCAAAATCTATTTCCAGTTTTTTCTTAACATTCATAATCTTTAAAATTGGTTATATCTGTTATTTCAAGTGATGAACATTATCCTTAATACCATTTGCATAATTCAACAATTTTGAATTCATTATTATAATTATATTTTGTACAATAATTTTGATCTATTATTTCTATGCATTTGAATTCTCGGCATTTTTTTGTATCTTCATCATAAATACAGTTGATTTTTTAACAACCATTTTTTGAATCACTCCATTCAGAACATCTAAAATTTAATCCGTAAAGGTTATAAGAAGTGCATTTACCTGCATCATTCAAATTGCAAACATGACCAACTCCATCATAATAAAAATCACAAAGATTATTAGATAAAGTGGAGCAATTTAACTCTTAAATTGGATTTGAGCATACACCGTTGTAAGTATAAGAACATAAGTTTCTAGGGCAATTAAATGATGCTAGAGCACAAGAAAACTCTACGCACTTTTAATTAGCATCAGGAACACAATTGATGCCTTTTTGAGAATTATATGAGCAATCTGTTAATGGAATTTCAGAGCATGTATATGTATAATCAAGACAAGTTTATGTAGAAGCATTCCATTTACATTTATAATTAGTGTCGGTTGATGAGCATTAACCTGAAGATCTATTTGAACAAATTAAGTTTCCACAAACATTTCCATTTATTGAACATTTATTAGAATTCAAACATTCTGAAACTTAAAGATCTTCACAAGAACATACATCTCCTTAAACTTTGATTGTCTTGCATAATAGGATTAGTATATTTAAGAGGATATACTTAATTATCATTTATTAATGATATAAATATTGAATAATTTGAGTGGAATTTATTTCTAATATTTATATCAAAAATTTATAAGTAATTTAAGTTAGTTAGCTATGATAAAAAGTAAATAGATTTAAATTTTTAATTATTGATGAATATGATAAAAATAGAAAGTAATGAAACAATTTTATGTAATTTTTGCTATATATAGACGAAATCTTATCTAAGATTATAAATCATGTATTTACAATATCTATAATTTATTTTAAAGTAAGTAGTATATAAATATTTTTAATGTATATAAATAAAAATACCTTTAATAATTCTTATTTTACATATATAATTTTAATTAATATTAAATTAATAATTATCTAATTATTTTTTATAAATAATTTATAATATATTATTTAATTCAAATGATCAAAAAAATCCAATAATAAGACAATAATATAGATATATATGGGAATGAAATAATTTTATTTAAAAATTAATTAAGATTTATTAATTGATCAAAATAATCAATATGGAAGTAACTATTATTTTATCTAATGAAATCTTTAAGCTTATTGAGATTTATTACGACTGGCTTTCATATCAATAGGTTAAAGTTCTTATGAATCTTTTAAATTTCTTGAAGAACTTCTCGATAATTTACATGAATCTTATAAAATATCTAAGTCAATTTTCTTTAAATAATGATGAGATGACTTTAAAGTAGGTGAAGCAAAAATGTTATATGTTTATTTAGCATTATCTACTTCCATCATTAAAGATGATATATGAATGTTTAAATTCTTTATTACTTCATTTTGTTTTTTCAATTCTGTAGATTTTTTTGATAGCTATATTTCTAATTAATTAATATGACTTTTATCTTATCTCTATTCATTAAATAATTCTGAAATTCTTTATTTAGATAATGTATCTCTATGTAATAAGTCTTTAATTTAATTTTGTAAATTTTCAATATCTCTTTTATAATAATCTATTTATCTCTAATATTCAGATTTCAATTATAATATATTATTTTCAAACTCATACTTAAGTTATTTCTAAGTATTTCTTTCTTCATAAATATCATGATCATATTTTTTTTTTTAAGTTAATATCTCTTCTGATGCAATTTCTAATAATTTTGACTTTTCATCACCACTCATTTTTGATTAATCAATAATCTACTAAAGTTATTTCTATTCTTATCTTTGTTAATCTAATTAAAATGAAAATTGTTAGGTCATTAATTATGCTTTATAATTAAAATCAGCTGATACTTTTTATTTAAATTCTTCAAATTCAGCAGACTATTATTATAATTCTTATTATTATTAACAAATTAAATCAGAAATTCTTTATTCAGATGTCTTTTAAATTTATTCAGTTTCTTATGAATGTTCTTCATTTATAAAAATAATTTATTATTTTAAATTATCAATTTCTAATTTTTAATTTTCACTTAATTATTCTAAATTCTAAACATATTCAATATGAATAGGATCTTCATATTATTATGAAAAATTAATTAATTAATATTATTAAACCTCTTAAAAACTAATTTTATTACCTAATAATTTTTCATATTTTAATCTTTAAATTTATATCTATTCAACAAAACCTTATATTTATCTATAATTTGTTGACATAATTTTATCTATTTCAATTTAATGTTCTTATTTTAATGTTTATCTTAAATTCTCATATTATTCTTTTATTTATAATAATTCTTAAATTAAATCTTCATCTTATTATACTTTTTATTTTAATATCCCTTCTCTTTTTTCTTCTATTATAACTTTATTTTTATAATATATAATTTCTTTTTATAATTCTTCCATAGCTTTTTCAGATTTTGACATTATTTATTTATCTTAAATAACCCCTGTTTTTAATTCCTTTATTTTTTAAATATTTTAATCAAGAATCTTTTCAACTGATTCTTTTTGTTATTTTATTTAATTATAATTCTATTTAAGTTCTGAAATTTGTTAAATTAATTATTTATGTTCTTAAATTAATTATTTATATTTCGATTCAATTCTTATTTCTTATTATTCTAATTCATTTTTAAATACTTGATTATCACTTTCTAATTATAAACGCAATTTTTATATTGTAGTTTCATAATGATTCTATTAATCTTTTAACATTTATTCTAAATCTTTAGTTTTTCTTAGATTTTAATTTAATTTGTAATTTGTTTCTATTTCCTAATTAATTTATTTTCTTAACTCTTCCAATTCTTAACCCTAAATCAAATTCTAATATTTAAGTTATTTTATTTAATCGTCAAATATAGCCTTCTCCTTCTTCTATTAAATCTTTTATTTTTAAAGTTCTTCAGACATTATTGAATTTGACTGTTGATACTGGTATGATTCTTGTTCTCTCTATTTTATATTCTCATTTAGATTGTATTGTAATCTCTCTATTTATTCAGACAAACAATCTATTTTTTCATGATCTTTATTGATTTATTCCTTGATTAAACTAAATATTTATTAAAAGTCTATAAGTTTGGCTTTCAATTATAAGTCTTGATCTAATTCATCTATTATTGATTATAAATTATCTTCCACCTCAAATTTCATTAAATTTAAACGATCCTTCAACATGCTGTTTTCTTAATGTAATGGCTATAAAACTAACAATCTTAATATACAACTATTTTTCTCTAGAAACGTGAAGATTTAAGCTAACGATGTTCATCTTAATTTAATCTTTTAGTTTGATGACTAACTGATCGTAATCGCATCATTTTTAATAAATTATTGTAACTACAAAATGAAGTTTTGCTTGTTCTTGAAAAGGTCATACAATTCAATTTAAATCAACAAAGGATTTCTTCAATTATTAATAGAAGTTTCATCTTATCAATAATAACATTAAAGAATAAGGAGAGGCAAAAAAGTAAATTATTGAAGGCATTTGAACTATATTTTAATTTATTGTTATTAGTTTGTAAGGTTTTGAAGTGATAACTGGAAGGAATATTCATCAAACTTTGCAAGGTTGATAATTATGTTTTAGGATGCAAATTATAGTTCACTTTTAAAGTCTTATTCCTTTAGGGAAATCAAAATCTTCCGAAATTCAAGAGCTAATTAGATATTACAAATATATACTTCATTTTACCTATGAATTCTCATTAATGTGAAGTAGATGACTTTAAATTAGAAATATTTGAATCAATTGACTTAATATGTAGAAATAACTATTGAATACAATTTCAATCTCAAGCTAATGATTAAGAATTCAAGGTTAACATTTAAATTATTAAGTAGATATACAAAAATGGAGTCTTTTAATTATAGCTAATTAATAAATAAGTCATAGAATAAATTAATAAGGAATATCATATTAAAATAACTTAGAAAGTTTATAATAAATTTTCTATGAATTAGCAACTAATTGTTGGAAGAATAAAAAGTTTGTGAATTATATGATTCTAAAATTGATAATAACCTAGAATTATACCTTTATGAGGAAATAGCAAAATTAATCCAAAATTATAATAATATAAAAAATACAATTAAATAAGTTAAATAATGACTGAAAGAGAATATAAAAACACTATTATATAAAAAAAGAATAATAAAAAATATGTCCTAATTAATATAAAATAATTATAGAAGAATGTTATTTAATATCGATTTTAATATTTTTGATTCTGCAAATAGTTTTATCTAAATAACATTTAATAAAAATGTAAATTAAATGTGAATATGAATATTTAAACAATAAATACAAACTAGTTTAGATTTAAATATGTGAATATTATATAAAATATAATTTAATTATCAAATGAAGAACAATAATATAAAATACAAAAATGGCAATGAAAATAATATTGGATCAATATTAAATCAAAAATTTTTATAAAGTAGCATTATCAAAGAAGATATAATACATTATGATATAAAAAGTTAATCTCTTAATTAAAATTAAGATAAAAAATAGTAAAAAAAGATTATATTCATTTCAGAAGCTGAATTGTTTCCTAGTAAGTAATAACATTAAACGAATGAACAATATAATAACATTGAAAAATCTTAACAATAATAATTAGTGTTATACTTAGATTCTAATTAGAAAAATACTTAATAATAATATGAAGAAGAGAAATTTCTAACTTAAAGGACTAATATCTCTACTTTAAATTTTGAAAGCAATTTAGATGAAACTATAATTCTAACTTAAAATTTTTCTTGTTATCAATGTTTAAGTTCTCTTAAAATTAATAATATTGCATTACCTTGTCTGCATTTATATCATTAAGAATGTTTTAAAGAGATGGTTGATATATTTTTGAAATAAGAATATTCTGAGTCTTTTTATTGTAGATGCAATATTAGAATACCGTTTAAGACTTTAATTAAATAGTTTTCAAATGATCCAAAAATAGTTGAAGATTTATTTATTCATTAATAAGCATGGCTTATTCTTAATGCTCCATTAAAAATACAGAATTAAATTACTGAAAAAAATAGAAATATTAGCAATATTAAATAATATATTAGACAATAAATAAGAAATTATAAAGCAAGCTTAATTAAAAAATGATATTTTTGATATATATATATATAATTTAATTAATATTAATTTGATGAAATATTCAAAAATACCTTTAACTACTTCACCTTTGTATTTAAAGAATAATTTAACAAGCACAGAGTAATATATGGCTTTTTTATCTTATAATGCAGATAAACTTAAATTAAATGTAGTCAATAAAAAAACTAAGTAATACATATTAATCAATTTAGAGAAGTACGATTAATATCAATAGAGGATTAATCTATTCCTACATCTATTCAATATATGTCTGATTAAACTTTGATTGTTACAACTATGAATGGATATTATCTCTATTCAGAAAATGGTCAATAATAATATCATAAATTAAGAAATTAATTAGGAGATATCTCATAATTTTTTATCAGTGCTACATTGATAATTCCAGAAAATTAACAACCTTTTTATGCAATTGGGTTTGAAAATAAAATAATCTTTATTGATCAAAAGACTCCAAAATAAGAATTCTTTGGGGTTAATCTCAAAAATATACAACCCACTTGTTTAACCAGTTATTATTAGTATTTGATTTATGGAGATTCCAAAGGTATTTTAATATTATATTATATATAGGATATATTCATTAGAATAAATGTTTGGCAATCCAACAAGTTACAGAGACAAAATCTTTGGATCTCTAATCAAAAGACACAACAATCCTTTCTGTATAGATTTTAGAAAAAAAGGATTCATAGCCAAAGATATTTATAATAGTTGCTGATTTTATTGGTAGATTAACTATTGTAGATCTTATAAATTGGGAAATCTTAAGTATAATCAATTCTCACATTAAACCAATAACTTCTTTAGCTATAAATTAATAAAAGTACAAAAATTTCAATTAATTTATTAGGGAATATTTTATATCTGGTTCTGATGATACATTCATTAATATTTGGAAATTGAATCAAAATTTATAACCTTAATTAATATAGTCCCATCATTTGGATGATACAATAATTGTAGGAATTACAAATGATATATTTGTTGCTGCATATGATCAACAAGAATTATTATATATTGAAAATAATTGAATATTATTATTATATTAATATATTAATTACTTTCAAATATCTTATTTTAATAGTATTATCAAAATGAAGAGAAAAAAAGAATCATCAAAATTTTAATTAATATTAGAAATGTTACAATATAAAATTTAATAAATCATTAGTTCGAAATGTTATTAAGAGAACAATAAGAATATAAATTAAAATATTTAGAGGAAAGAATGGAATAATATGAAACAAGTCTATTAAAGAAGGTCAATCAATTAGAAGAAAGAATTAAGTCATTTAATCAAAAATTTGAAAGAATTGATGAATTAGGTTAAAGAGTCAATGATTTACATTCATTATTTGATAAACTCAAAGAAAATTTTGATACAAAATTAATGTTACAAGATGATAAAATTTCCAAAGCAAATTTTAATATAAATAAATTAAAATAGGAAGACTTCCAACAATTATACAATTTTGTTAAAAAAGCATTCAATACTACAAAAGATATGTCTTTAGAAATACATAATGTAAAAAATAAAGATATACGGCAATCTGAAGTTCTATTCAAATAGGAATTGAAACAATCAAATATTTTAGGAGAAAGATTATAATCTCCACTTTTACATTAAAGAATGGATAGTTATTAAAAAAGTGATAGAATGAGATCAATAACATTGGAGAAAGATAAGGGATTAGAATAAAAAGTGAAATTTGAAAATGAAGATTTAGAAACTAATAAACCAAATTCAAAGGGAATAACAAAAAATGATAATCAAAAATTAATTGATAAATATTAATTTACTTTATAAACTAAACTACAAAATGAGAGTAAGTAATTGTATTATAATTAGATATTTAAAAACTAAGCAATGTAAAGATTGAAGTATAAAATACTGAATAAAATAAGATATTGACTTAATAACAATAATAATTACTTGAGAGAACTATATCTTAAGATCATATTCCAAGATCAAAATACTTAAATAGTACAAATTAAATTAAAGAATAACTGAAAAACTTAAGGAAATGAATTATTTTATATATTTAATATATATGATTAAATAAAGAATAATTAATTTAATTTACCAATTAGAATGAAATAAAAAGCCCCCTAAATTTCTCCTAATAAATTGTATGCAACTCTATTAAAAAAAAAAAATGAATCAGATTAATAATAAAAAATAGTCAAATCTCCAGTAATTTAAGGAAATGTATATATTAATTCGTTGAGGTATGCTAATGCTTATAAAATTAGAAATAATTAAGGATAGTTAAAAGTTGATGCCAAGAAATAAAGACCTACAAGTGGAAAGGATCTTAAAGATATAAGCACGGTCTTATTAAAAAAAACTCATGCACGTTAAAATAGTAAAATTATTGAGACTAAAGAAAATTCATAAAATTTAACTTAATCAGCATTGCAATTATTATAAAAAATCAAAGCAGAACGTCCAGACAATAAAATTGGTTAAATATAAACATCAAAAGAGATTTTACAATATCATTAGTAATTAATTTAAAAATAATATTAAAAATTGCTTGACTTATCTAAATAAACAGAACATAATTAATTATAACAACAGTAATAATAATAATAATAACAATAAAAATAAAAACTATTCAAAGGACCTCGTTCAATCAGTAATCCTGATATCTCAACTCTCTAATTATGTATAACAAAAGCACATGCAAAATCCATTCCTGGAATGCTTTATACTGGCTAAACTAAAATTAATTAAGATTCTTATAAGTTAATACAAAAATTTGGAACTAAAGAAAATGATTGGTATCTTTAGGTTTCTGATGGTCATGGAACCAATGGACATTAAGTAGCCTAATTTGTATAAGAAATACTACCAGCATATATAGAATAAGAAGTCATGGAAGCTCCATATTATTATGATAGAGATAAGTATTTAATTAAAACAAATTAGAACAATTAATAATATCTTTAAATAATCCTTTTTGAAAACAAATGAAGATCTTTTAAATTCTGGCATAGATGTGACCTATTCAGGAGCAACAACAGTAGTTGTTATAGCATTTGAAAATATATTATATTGTGCAAATATAGGAGATAGTCGAGCTGTAATTATAAACAAAATAGAATTAGATTATAGGAAGATATGATACTAAATTATAAGTAGTTGAATTATCAAAAGATCATAAGCCTGATTGTTTTTTGGAATAAGCTAGAATTATTTAGAGAGGAGGAAGAGTTTAAGCTTATAGTGATGAGGATGGAAATCCTATAGGACCAGCAAGAGTATGGAAGTTAGATGAAGATGTACCAGGATTAGCAATGTCAAGAAGTTTTGGGGATTATGCTGCAAGTTAAGTAGGAGTCATTTGTGAACCTGAAATCATTAAACATTAATTACTACCATCAGACAAATTCTTAGTTGTTGCATCAGATGGTATTTGGGAGTATTATAAATACCTTAAATATATTAAAGATTCTTATCAAATGAATGGGTAATTGAAACAGTCAATGAGTATTATAAAAAGGGAGATGCAATTGGGGCTTGTAATAAATTAACATAGGCTGCAAAAGAGGCTTGGTAAAGGGAAGACGAAGTAATAGATGATATTACTGTCATTCTGGCATTCTTCAAGTGAATTTTATCTACATATTTAAGTGTTATAATTATCTCTTAATTAATATATGAGAATTCTTAACAATCTTGGTAGATTAAATGATAACATGAAATAGAAAATTAAGAATTATTAATTATTATTTTATAAAAATATAAATAAAAATGGATTATGAGTCTTTGTATAAAATGATCCCTAAAGAACCAAAAAAATGGTTGACTCAAGATG